ACTGATAAGGGTGCCCTTCCTGCCACCCAACAGTGCTGAACTTGAACTCAGCGTTCTCTCTTCTCACCTCAGGAGTTGTGTCTAAGCCAGTGATTAACTTGCAACTCAACAGCGGGGGCAAGAAGTTTCAGAGCGCTCTCCTGACAATATTCCTTGGGAACTCCTTGCTTAGGTGTCTGTGCACAAGCTGAAGGGCTTCAAGGGCTCTCCCCTCCTCAGCTCCAAGTGAGGACAGGGATTAGCACAGTGGGAAGCAGTTCAGGTCAGGGTTAGGCTGCTCCACAAGACCTGGGAGACAGAAAACAGCATCTGAAGCAGGGGAAAAAAAAAAAAAAAAAAAAAAGCCCCTGTGAGGCTCATGTCTCCAGAGAGAGGGGAGATCAGGTCTGTGCCTCCTGCAGTTTGGATGTGAACAGCCTTTGTTCTGCCTCGTTAACTTTACACAACCCCTGGGCAGCCTCAGCAGTTCATGAACTGCCCAAGCATCTGCAAATGTGGTTCTTGACTTTGGGATCTCTCTGACGCAAACCAAGTTAAAGAGCAATGAGATAGTGTGCAGCTACTGTTGACTTCTTTTCCGGGAACGCATGTGAAATCCTACCAGTGTTTCTTTTGTAACAGAATGTAAATGCCCCCACCGAAAAGAACCCTCAGTTCCCGTGCTTTTAACACAGTCTGGGGAGAGCTCCCTCTCTGAGCATCATCTGTGACACAGTTCCCTTGCAAGATAAAGGCACATAAAAGCATTCAAAACAGTCAGTTTTGCTTGTGTGCTTTTCCCTGAAAGCAGGTGGCAAAGTAAACACAGGGGTCAGATCCACTCTCCTTGGTCTGGACTGACATCCAAACAATGTCTGGACCGACTTCTGACAAACTGGCTACAGAATCGAGCCATTTCTGATGCAAGCTGCTGCCTCCCCCCCCCCAAGATAATAGAACATTTTCCCAGATGGAAGGAACCCACTTGAAAAACAAAAGGTCTTTGAAATGTCAGCTCAGGCTTGCTTGGCCTGCGCTGTGTGCCCACAGGAATAAGATAGAGCCTTTCTTCATCCTCCAGCTGTAACACTTACATCTGAAGCAGCAAGAAGATGGAGACATGTAGCTCCAGTTTCCTGCTCTGCTACCGATTTCCAGCCTCTCCCGTGTCAGTCACTTAGCCTTGCTCCATCTCCAGCAGAACGAGGATAAAAGCACCCTCTGGGCTGAGGAGGAATCCAGGCTCATGAGAGGTTTGCCTGCTCCAGTAATGGGGATCAGTAATTGAATTGCTTGAACAAGCTTTGGGCCAGTCACAGGACAACTGATCCAGTGTGGTTTGAATCCAATGTTCCTCTGTCTGTCAGGACCTCCTGGTGCTCCCAGTCTCCCCCCTGCAAAGTTACTTGTTCTGAGCTCTCACGTCAGAACATTTTTTGATCTTTAAATAATTACAGAGGAATTACACTTAGTACTGTCTCCAAGAGTTAAAAGGAAGGTACAAATTTCTCTCTCCCCTTTCCAGCTTTAACTCCTTTGCTCCCTGTGGTACAGGTCTTGTGGTTCTCAGCTGAAAACGCTCCAAGACTTTGAAGAGTCCAGTTTGCAGACCAAAGAGACAGGAGGACAACCCCCCTCAGTGTGTTCCCTTCCTGTGAGCAGTGTCTCAAGCCCCTGAGATAATCCATGACCAGGGCGAGTGTGATGTCCTAATGCTACTTAGGGAAATGGAGTATTTGCCAGAGCCAGGACAAGATAAGGAGCATTAATCCAACTCACAAGGAAGTGCAGCAATAGGTTGCAAGCTCTCCCCTGACCTCGTCAAGCACGTCTGAAAGGGCTGCTCAAACACAGCTCCCTCCATGGCAGGATCTGGGACTGGGCTGGAATCTAAAACCAAAAGGAAAAAACTACCAGAAGCAAAGCTCTCAGAACCTTGGTGACATCCAGACTGGCTGTGGGGTCTGCCAGGGCTGCTCCTGTCCTTCCCTGACCCGGGTGGTGTCGGTGCCAGCACGTGGCTCTCAAGGTCTCCATGAATCTTTCCCAATTTCTGTACCTTAAACAGAGTGTGACCAGACTTCTTGTGTGCACATGGCACACACACCTCCACTTTCCTTTCTATACCATTCTATTAGCAGGACTGCTCGACTCTCTCTGATGTCAGTGTTTTCTCCTGCTCAGGGAGGTGCAGATAATCCATGGGATAATCCCCAGAGCAGGATGTAACGAGTCCTGCGTGGAAGCATCACCATGAACTGATGCTGGCCTGGAACGAACCCCTTGTGCAGCCGGGCTCGGGGCACCAGATGGCAGCATTTATTGTCAGTCTGGAGATCCTAAAACAGCCGGGATTGGCAGTTTAGTGCTCCACAGTTCATGCTATCAAAGTCCCTAAAACTGGGGTTGCAGCCCGTTCTTCCTCCTCCACCTCCCCAGTCATGATTCACTCAGGAAGGGGGACAGAAAAGAGCAAAGAAAACACCTCTGTGGCACCTCTTTCCATTCCTTCCACAAGCAAAAAGTGGTTTCCATTAGACATTCCCCTTTTGCCTGTTCCCTCCTGCCTATTTTCCCCCTGGCAGTCCCAAGTTCCTCAATGAGCTCCCGATTATCAGGAATATCAGATATTTAACAGATTTAGCTATGCCAAGGCCTTTTTAAATTATTATTATTCTTTTGTAGCAGATTTAAAATACCAAAGACATCAGCAGGAGCAGACTTTTTTACCTGAGAGAGGGAAGAACTTAGCTGGAATTTAAACAGTGAGCCAGGCAAAAGCCTAAAAGCCATAAAAAGGTGCCAAAGCCTTCCCATGTGGAATGGCAGCAGGCAGGATGCCCTGGCTGGGAGAGGCCCTTCTGGGCACAGCACTGGTTTCCCAGCTCCTTCAACTCCTGTTTCCTCTTTAAAGCCTCAGTGCAAACAGCCAGGGTGGGGATCACAAACCAACATCTGTCACACCACATTGTCAGCACTGAGAAATATTCCCAGTCAGGGCACACTCTGCACTGGGTTTAGAGTTAATGACTGAGTTGAGGTTGTTCCTGTCAATAGTTGCTGCAGTCACAGGATTGTCAGGAAAGGGAGGCCAACTCCTGGTATATTCTTCCCAGCAAACATGTGCACCAGAGCAAGGACAGTCCCTCTGGTGTCTGGCATGGCTCTCTGCTGCCTTGGCCAGACCATTTTCCCAAGGTGTGACACACACCCAGATCCCAAGAAAAATCCTGGGATTTAGCTGCTACCCTAATTACCACCTTCCTCCAAAGCTGGGTTCCTGAAGAAACACTTCAGCTGTTTCTTTGTGATTGAGGCATCAGAGACATCTCATTTTTTTAACCAGAAACACTCACAGTTTCCACACAGAGAACCTCAGCTTCTATTTCACACCCAAAGCCCAAGTGCTCCAAACTTCCACAGCACAGATCCTGAGACTTCCAAGGGCTCTGTGAGACTTCACTAGCACATGGAAGCCATTCCAGCCAAAGGAGAAGCTTGCCCTGATGGTGGCCCTGCTCTTCCAGCCCCATCCATGAGGGTGACATGGTTGCACCCAACAGCAGCTCCTGCTCCAAATGCCACCACAGCTTTTCATGACAGCAGAGGACAAGAAATCTTTGTTTCTCCCACCTCTGCTGGTTAAACAGCCACTGCAATGACTCGAAGGAAGATTGACCAACTGATGGTTGCATCAGTAAAGCTACAAAAACCGTGTTGCCCAAGTCTCAGATGCCTTATCAAGGTTTCATTTTAAAACCATGGTGATTGCCCAAGCAGCAAAATCCAACTGTAGCCACTGCTCAGAAACTGCTTTTTGAAACACAAGGCACTGTCTCCCTGCTTTTGTTTGTTGGAGGGGGCTTGGGTTTGTTTTTAAACTTTTTCCTGCTCCACAACCCCATTTTCTGTCTGACATCCCTGTTTCAAAATCAGACTGTGCTGTTCCACAGGGACAGTTTCAGCACATTCAAAACCAGCTTTTTCTGTTTCGTATTTTTGGGTTTTATTAGAACTTCCCCCTAGGCCTCTTTGAACAGGAGATGTTTTCCCTCCCAAACATGATGTATTTCAAATTATTCCCCTGCAGTGTCACTCCCGTGCTTTGTGTCCTAGGGATGATCCACCATCCACCTCCCTCCAAAGTGGCCTTTTGAAGCTGGGTGTTTTCAAACTTCCTCCCCCAAACCAATCATCCTCTCAGCTGCAGGTTTCAAACCCTGTAACAGGGGAATATTACAGACACTCGAAGGCCCACACGCTGCAAAGGGGGGGGTTAATCCAGGCAGATGGATGTGTCCACACGGAATCTGCCTCATGGAGATGGTATTGCCTGTGGCTCTTTTTCCAGGAGTCCTGCGGTGCACATCAAGTGATGTGGGGCCAATGACTTCAGCGCTCACATGAGCATTACTCATCTAATGAGGGGGTTTGCAGGCTCTGCCCCTGCCTTGCCGTGCGCTGTTAAAGTCATCGCCCTGGCTCGTGGAACGTTTGTCGTTCAGCGACCGGCCCTGGGGTTTGGTTTCCTTGCTGTTTCCCCTGGAAGATTCCACCCCACAAGGCAGCAGCGGCGCTGAGCAAGAATGCCATCAGGGTTATGATGTCAACGCCGTAAAAAAGGGGGAAAACCAATCTCTCCAAAGCGCTGTTTATCCAAGGAAGCGGAGACGAGGGCTGTTGATTTTCCGGGCAGCGGCGTCACGGGGGTGTCACCACCGGTTTTTCCTCGCCCACCGCTGCCCTAAAGGCAGTCCCGTCTCCCACCCTGGCACCACGGCAGGACCCGCCCTTGCCCCAGATGTGCCGCCCAGATGTTCCCCCCCCCCCCATCCCCAAAATCTGCCCGCGCGCGTCTGATGCAACCACAACATCACCACGTGGCCCCGCGCGGCCGCTCCCCCGCGCCAGCCAATCGCGGCCCGATCCGTCAGTGCCGGGGGCGGGACCCCCCCAACACCGCTCCCTCTCCATTGGTCGCCCGGCGCGTCCATCAGCGCGGCGCGGGCCAATGGGCGGCGCGTTGCGGGGCGGGGCAGGCGCGGCGGCCGCGGGGGCCGGAGCGGCCCGAGCGCCGCGCCCGCTCCATGGAGGCCGCGGCCGGGGCCCCGCCGGCGCTCGGCTGCTTCTCCTACAACCAGGACTGCACGTAAGCGGGGCGGCAGCCGCGGGGCGGGGCGGGAGGTGGCAGCCGGGAACAGCCGGTGCGGCCCCCGCGGCCCCCGGAGCGCGGCGCGGGGCCAGCACCCTGCCCCCTCGGAACGGCATTCCCGGCAGGATTGACCCCACCCCACCCCCATCCATCGCTGGGAGAGGCGCTTCATCCCCCGGCCACGCCCGGCTCTGGGTAAACACCCCCGATGCCCCCGGCTCGGGTCCCGAGGGATGCACAAGCGCAGAGGGATCGCTGGGTTTTAAACATCCCCCTCCCTCCCTCCCTCCCTCCCATCCGCAGTTTGGGAAGCGTTTTGGGATGGGCAGGGCGGTGACGTGGTCCCGGGGCTGTGTCCGCGCACCGGTGCGTGGCCACGTCGGTCGCCCGGGGCCACCAAGAGCCGGCTCTTGGCGAGCAGCCCGTGCCGGAGGGTTTCCCGGGAGCCTCCCGGGAGTTTCCTCCCATCCCCGCACCCTCGGTGACCGGCGCTTCACCTGCTCCAAGTGTCAGAACCGTTTCCCAGAGGGACAAGGAAGCTCCCGGGGCGCTGAAGCCCTGGCAGTCCCAGCCCAGGTCCCGGGCAGCGAGATAAGGATCAGAGATAACCCAGATCGCACCTGGAAATGTCGTTCCCTTCGCAGCCCTGCTTTGCATTGGTGTGTCCAAACAAAGGGTGCTTTGAGGGATGCCGAGGTGCTGCTGACGTGAAGCTGCTGGTCGCTGCCACCGGCACCAACGCTGTGCATTAGTATTATGGGCTGGCTGCTTTGAGACCTGGATGCTGCTGCTTTCCACATCTGGAACTGAGCAGAGACAGCACCTCTAGCACCCTTTAACAGTGAGAGCAAAGCTTCCCCAGCCCTGACAAGTCACTGTGCCAGTACAGGTGGATCAGCCCCTTCTGTGTCCCAAAGGTCCTGTCTGCAGCCTCCCAGGTGGATGTGGAACTGTTTGTCCCTCCAGCAGCCACAGGACCATAGCAGTGGAGGAGTTTGCTCAGGGATATCCCCTGTCTCACAGGGATAAGGTGCCTTTTGTAGGCTACAACAGCCTCAGATGGAAAACTGGATTCTTGGGTTTAGGTTGAGAGGGGGAACTGAAGTTGTGCCTTCACAGATCAACCACTGTGCCAGGAATGACCCCCTTCCTCTGTGTCAGGGTCTAAGTTCCTCCCAGCCAGCTCCTCACTCCCAGTGGGGTGGAGAGAGACACAAAATGGGAAGAGCAAAAAAACTTATGGGCTGAGATGAAGATAATTTAAAGCTAAAGCCACACACAAGCAAAGTGAAACAAGGAATTCATTCCCCACTTCCCATGGCAGGCAGGTGCTCAGCCATTCCCAGGTCAGCAGGGCTCCATCATGGATAACAGGGAAGACAAACACCATCACTCCAAACTTCCCCCTTTCATCCCATCTTTACACCCCATATGATTTGGGATATCCCTGGGGTCAGCTGTCCTGGCTGTGTCCCCTCTCCCAGCTCCTTGTGCCCCCCCAGCCTCCCCACTGGTGGGGTGAGGAGCAGAAAAGGCCTTGGCTCTGTGCAAGCACAGCTCAGCAACAATGAAAACATCCTCCTGTTATCAACACTGTGCTCAGCACAAACCCAAAACACAGCCCCACACAAACTAATATGGAAAAAAAAAAAGACTGTATTCCAGTCAAAATCAGCACACCATCCCTGCAGGGGCTCCTCCTGTCACCTTAAGATCTGAACTAGCAGGTTTTTGCTTTGTCTTTGCAGCTCCCTGGCAATTGGAACCACAACTGGATACAGACTTTTCTCCTTAAGTTCTGTGGAACAACTGGACCAGGTCCATGAAAGCAGTAAGTGTCCTGTTTCACTGGGGAGGATTATTGACCAAGCAGCACTTTAAACTTGTGGGAGTCCTTCAGCACTGTTAGAATCCAGCTTCTTTTCCACTGCTGTCAGTCTGGCAGCAGCACTTTGTGCTGAAAACCAGCATGCAGAGGTAGCTCCCCACTAGCCTGTTTGACATGCATGGACAGGAGACCACAGGCTCCCAGCACAGCTGCTGGACAACTCACAGGCTCTTTAATCCAGTGTGGTATTTACAAGCAAGATGTTTTTAACAGGTTTCCCGTGTAAGAAGGTCACTCACAGCAGGTCTGCAGTTATTAGCTGTGCTCAGAGCAGCATGCAATACACTTAACAGCCCCAAACAAGTCTGGCCTCGTGGAGCATGGACTCCAGTCTGGTTCAGGCCAGAAGTGTTTCAGCTGAGATGCTCTAAAGATAACACTTCCCAGCTGGGAGAGGCTCATCTCCCTCTTAGTGGCCATAGAAGGAGACTGAGCAACCAGACAGAGCTGCATCATCTCAGCAGAGTCCAGGCTGCTCTCCTGTACAGCAGCAAACTGCAGATTTATGTCAAAAACTATTCAGGAGTTTGGATTGTCCCCAGCCAGGCCAAAGAGAAACATCCCTGCTGGGGTCACACTCAGGGTGATGGGCTGAGGCACAAGCAGTCCCACATCACAGCTGTGGGGCAGCCCTTGGACCCCAGCACAGCCCAAACTGAGCATCATTCAGGGCCCCCTCCACTGGACATCACAGCCCCTGAGGATTGGGGTGCAGGCCCACCAGGACCACTGCAATGGTGCCTTCTCAGCACAACAGGAGTCATCCCAAACAGCCTCTGCAAGACTCACCAAACCACTGTTTGCTCCCCCAGGGAGGCTGGGAGGAAACCAGACACCACACAGGATAAACAGGGAGCCACACACAGCTCATTCCTTACCTCAGCAGCCCCAGTCTGCTCCTTCCCTCCAGGAAAATCCCTGGCCAGACTGCTGTGAGCTCCTCTTTTTGTATCCCATTCCCAAGGATTAACTGCAGCTGGGGGGCCCAAGGATTGGCTTCAACTGGAGGGCTCTGCCCTGGGTAGGCACAACAGCACTGTCTTAATTTCAGCCTTCAGGGGAGTGTTCATTAACCCTTTCCTGCTTTGAACTAATTGCTTTGTGCCAGACATGAGACACTTATCACAAAAGCAGGTGTTGGGCACCTTTGCCCTGAGCCTTCCAACCCCGTTCCCTCTTGATCTGAGTCTTGTTGCTGCTCTCAAACCAACCACCAGCCCAGCTGAAAGGCCCTGCCTTGCTTTCCTTGTGTGCCCAGATGAAATCCCAGATGTTTACATCGTGGAGCGCCTGTTCTCCAGCAGCCTTGTGGTTGTGGTCAGTCATGCCAAGCCACAGCAAATGAATGTCTACCACTTCAAGAAAGGCACAGAGATCTGCAACTACAGCTATTCCAGTAACATCCTGTCCATCCGGCTGAACCGTCAGGTGAGAGGCCAGGGAAGGGGGTTATCCAGAGTTATCCCGCTCTGGCTCTTTGCTGGTGCTGCCTTTCCAGCTGGGACCAGCCTGGGGAGGTTTGCAGGGACACTGTGGGTGGCACTGGAGGGGTGGGTGCCTGTCCTCTCCTACCAGCTCCTCTCCAGCCCCGGTGACAGGAGCAGGGGCTGTGGATTATCATCTGCCACAACTCCTTCCTGCAGTAAAACGAGGCCAAGTCCTTGTTTTCGTAGCAGTTACACAAAGGCTCTTTGTCATCTGCCTTCTTGCCTATTCAGGGTGCAGCCCTGCCAAAAAAACACCTTTTCACCTCCCCTCCCTCCCGTGGGTTCCACATCCTGACTCCAGGCCCGCCTCTGCCATCTTGGTTGCAAATAAGACCTTCAAAGTTGGTAACAAAACCCAGGAGTAGCTTGAACTCCGTGGATGAGGCAAAAGGCTGCTTCTCCAGTACTGCTAGCAGCCTTGGTTTGCTTTTAAGGGTATAAAATCCATCCAGGCCACTTAGAAGAAGGCTTTTAGGGTGTTATTCTCTGAACTGACACAGCCTCGTGCAGCCCTGAGCCCTTTTGGAGGTTTTTAAGTCATCTTTTCCTTTTGTCCATAATTATTTTCCAAGTATATGCCCTAAGAGGCAGAGGACATTTTACAATGAAGAAATAAGCAGTCTGGGTAATTGTATATAATCAGCTCTCCTCAGTTAGCAACAGTAAGACCTGCAGTAGGACTCTCTGGGTTGAGCTTCCAGTAAAGCTGCCTTTGACCAAGAGTTCCTGTACTACAATTAAATCTGTCCTAAATTGATTTTTTTCACTTAAACTTACAATGGAACTGGCAAAAGAAGGACTTCCTTTGAATTGCAGATAGCTGTGTGTGTGTATAAAAATAAACTGGGAGGTTCTGCTTAGCAGCTCTGGGGGATTAGTGCGAGTAAAATAAGTTCAGGCTATTCCCCATGTGCTGCTCTGGAGTTTGCCTGAAGGGGATGCACAATCCCAGCCTTGCATTCACGTTCTTTGGCTGCGTGGGGAGCTTGGGTTCAAATCCTGGGCTGAGCTCACCCTCTGGCTGTAACACAGACACACCTGGAGAGATCTGAAGATGCTACAGATGCTTAGAAACATGGAATATGAGAGTCATTTGTGTTGGAGAAGACCAGTGAAATCACAGAGTCCAACCACTGCCCCACGTCCCCAGGTGCCACATCCACGTGTCTCTTAAATCCCTGCAGGGATGGGGACTCCACCACTGCCCTGGGCAGCCTGCTCCAATGCTTAATAACCCTTTCCATGAAGAAATTTTCCCCCAAATCCAGTCAAAACATTCCCTGGTGCAATTTGGGTAGATTGAAGAGAAATCACTGTTATAATCTACGTTCAAGAGTTAAACTGGTGGCTGTCAGGTTCAGCATGTGGTGTGACACCTGAACCCTTGCCTGGGCTTCTGGAGAAAAGCTGTGCTCCACTGGAAGTCCACAGGAGGACAGATCCCACACAAAGCATTAACACAGGAAAATAAACTAACCAGGAACAGGTCTCAAACAAACAGTGCATATTTCAATTTGATCTCTCTGTGAAAAAAGCCCTTGTTGTGCCAACAAGCAAGTCCCTCAGTTGTTGTTGATCCATAGGAATTCTTTGTTCCAAGCTCCATGATAACTGAAGTGTGTTAAGGTGTGATTTGTCTCAAGGTGGGGAGTAATCTGTGCTGTGCAACCAGTGAGAAGCTCCTGAAACCTCCCTGGGTTTTCATTCGCTGATGAAACCCTGCTGAGCTCTTTGGAGAGGTTTGAGGTGTTTTTCTGGCTGAAAACACAGCTCAGTTATCCAACCTGATCTGTGTCAAACTAAAGAAAAATCTGGTGAGATTTCTGTACAATTAGCAGTGCCTTAACCCCGTGGAGCAACCACAGCACCAGCACCTCCTCTGAGGCTCCATCTGTGTCCTCAGAGAGGATAAATCCCATCCCACTGACCTCGGCATGGAGGGCAGGAGAGAACCAGCCCTCTCCAGTTCCTGGTGAGCTTGTCCAGACCTCCTTTGCCTCTTCACCTCCCAAACCCATCACTTTCCTGGATTTTGTCCCTGTGGGTGCCAACATCTCTGGCTGCTGCTTTGCCATCATCTGGAAACCTCCCTTCACCTGGACATCAACAGCAGCCCGTTCTGGGAAGGCACATGGTGGCTTTGCTGAAATCAGCTGTGTAAATATTACTCTGCTTGCAAAGTTGATGGCTGTTACTGGAGAAAAGGCAAAGTCTTCCTGGAAATGCAAAATGGCTCTGACACAGCCCCAGATGCTGTGGTTAGCAGGAATAGAAGTGGGAAAGAGTTTGATCTGAGAGTAATGGTGGAGCAAGGCAAAGATTTTCTAATGTGGGTGTTTCAAGTTAGTGACTAAGCTCCACATTTAGATACTAAATAAGTGGCCTCATTTCTAAAGAGGTGGAGGCTTCCTGTACTTGGATTTGGGTGCTCCAGCTTGAGGAGCCTGGATGGAGTCTGGCCCTCGGTGTTTATTGGGAGGTTTTCAGGGTTTCTGGACACTTGGCACTAGCAGAGGTGAAGCTGTGCACTTGCTGGGCTTGGGAGGCACAACCCTTCAGCCAGACCCAAAGCCTTGGTCCCAAAAAAAGCCTCTGTGCAAAACCTCACCGTGGTAACACTGAGAGATCTGGACCAAGATCTGAGACCGAGACACAAAGCTGAGCGGCCTCAGAGATGGTGGCCCAGTGCTAAGGTCACTGCATCAGGCTTCCCTGCTCCTTTCTGCCTTTCCTGCCCTTGGCTGATTCCAAATGGGAAGGGAGCATCAATGTGCTGAACAGATGCATCAGGTTTGGCAGCAGTGGCAGGCCCAGCAATATTTGCTCCCAAATCAAGAAAAAGTCAGGGCAAAAGGCCTGTGTTCCCATCTGGAGGCACACAGACAAGCAGGACTGCAGCCTCTCTGCAGCCAGGTCTCTATGATCAAAGAGTAATTTGCTCTGAAAAGAACTGCTAAGAAAATTTGGGGTAGGGGTAGATGGCAGTGGTGGGGTGTAACCCTGATTGTGCCTTCCTGTTGCTCCTGGGGATGTGGAAGATCAGCCCTTGGAGGAGCAGAGACGTCATCATGATGTTTTACCTGCTTTCTAAAGCAAGGTCAGATGCAAAAACTCTCAGAAACCCAAATGCTGTCCAGTGAGAGGGGATGGAGAAGCAGAGATCCCATTTTTGCTACATTTTGGTGTGTGAGAAATTCCTGTTGAGTTTCTCTGACACCAGAGGTTTGGGTTAGTGCACTGTGGGAGCAGCATGCCCGTGCTGGTGAGGTTCTGTGCATGTCCTTTTGTGTCCTTGCAGAGGCTGGTTGTTTGCCTGGAGGAGTCAATTTACATCCATAACATTAAGGACATGAAGCTTTTGAAGACTATCCTGGATACACCTCCAAACACAACAGGTAAGTGTGGAAGAACTGTGTGAAAGGGAGCTTTGTAGAGCCACAACACTCGGGTTAGAATTTAAACCAGGCTGTGGCTTGTGTATCCTAATTCAGTACTGGGGAGCCAGGAATGGAGGGAGGCAATCCATGGGCTTGGGAGAGCAGAAACCTGGCTCTATCCTGAGCAAAACCTGGCTCTGTTTGGAGCAAAACCCGTCTCTGTCCTGAGCAGAAGCATGAAAGAGGAGCAGGGATGGGCAGCAGGGTTTGACTTCCCCTTGGGGTCAGCTCCCAGAGTGATCCGTGCTGTGAAGATCACCCAGGGCAGAACCCACAGCCAGAACCCACAGCACTAATTCCCTGCTGGGGAATTCCCAGGAGCCCTGGGCTGCCACCTGATATTATTCCACGGACAGGGCAGGTGGCCTCAGGACAGATCCTCTCTGTGCGGCCCAGGGTGAATCCGGCTTTCCTGCTGATGGGAGAGGAGTTATTTTTAGCTGTGGAGAGGGAATCTTGGCAGGGTGCCCACGGCAGCGCTGCCCTGCGTGGCTGTGACATCCCGGCCCGTCGCAGCTGCAGCATCATTTCATGGGCTGCTGCTTGGGAAGCTGCTGATGTGCTCACGCTTGGCTTCTGGGCTTTCAAAGGATGCTCTCCCAGGCAGCTCCCCTGACCTACTTCAGGTCTCAACAGATGGCCTCTCCATGAGGATTAAACATACTAAACGCTGCAAATATAATTAAAGTTTAAAACCTTCCCGAGAAGGGCCAGCAGCGGCAGGATGGGCAGGGATACCCGGGCCTGGAGCTGCTCTGCAGCGGGGCTGGAGGACCAGGTCATGGTTTAAGAGCAGCAGCAATCAGCTGGGGCAGGACTGGGCTGCTGAGGATCACAGGCTTCACATGGGCTTAGTGCTTTAAAGCCCTTTTACTGCAGCAGCTGTCACTGAAATGAGCTGAGTGACCCGTGTGGTGCCACGCCTGCTCCTGTTGTCCCTGTGCCATCTGCTTTGGTCCCAGCTCTGACCCCAAGGATGGTGTGTCCAGGAGGTCAAGGCAGTCCACTGCTCTTTGTACAACCCTTTTTGGAGTGGGGATCTGTGCCAGAGGGATGTAGGAGCACAAAAAAGCCACCACCCCTGAACTGTGTGCCCTGGGCACAGTAACACCAGCACAGGGAGGACCAGGGTTTGCTGCACCCACACCAGGCAGTCCCTGTGAGATCTCTGGCTGTGCCTGGCCAGCACCTGGCTCCCAGTCCAGCCTTCTCCGTGCAGGAGAGGAAAACGCCCACAGTGGCCAAGTCTGTTGTTTTTCATGTGGTTCATCTCAGGGGCAGGATTTGCACTGAGGAGGTCACAGTGCTCGTGGTGGCATGTGTTCCATCTGGGGAATGACTGCAGGTTTGGACACCACCTCATGTGGCTCCCCCCAAGCCCCCGATGTGCCTGGACCTGCTGGCCTGGGGGCAAGGCCGGGCTTCCCAGACACTGTAGCATTTTTCCATGCTGCTTGAGGAAGCCACCTGTGATGTGGCACTCCCAGAGGTGCCATCCTGAGCGGTGCCTGCCTCCCTCCTCCCTCCTGAGCCCACCGCTGCAGGCACCAACCCTCCTCATGGCTGTGGGGCTGCCACAGGAGATAGGAGGAGAGGAGCACCTTCAAAGGCTGCCCGTGGCCCTGGTGATCCTTGTTCTTTGTGTGTCCCTGAGGTCAGCCCAGTACACTCACATCTGTGTTTTGCCCTGGCCTGGTTTCCCGCCCGCCTCTCCCGGCCAGGCGGGAGCAGAGGGAGCGGGTGACTCACACCAGCCGCTCAGAGCTCGCTTTGTTCCGCTCCAGCCGTCCCTAAACCCTCCTCCGAGAGAAAGGGCTGTGCTCATCCCCCCCGTGCTGCCTGAGCTGGGGGAACACCATCCGGAAAAGACAGGATGCTCCTCACGAGCAAAGTCTCTGGGCTGTCTTTGCCTTCCTCCCATCCCTCCCTCTTTAATTGCCTTTTAATTGCCTGCACTTCGCCCGCCGCGCTCCTCGTGCCTCTCCCCGGTGCGCCATCCCTGGCATGGTGCACATGACTCTGGATGGACGGCGAGTGGATCCCTGGGGCCCCTGGCTGATCCTGCAGCTCCTGGCTGCCTCCAGGGCTCTTTGTTTAGTTATAAACAATGACCTAAAGCGAGAGCTCCGGCCGATCCTTCCCCGCGGCTGGGCCGGGGCCAGGGCCGTGTCCTGACCCGGGGGGTTGCACGGCAGGACGGTCCGTGTACGTGCGGCGTGTGGGTGTCCTGTTTGGGGCCGTGGCAGCACCCCCGGTGCCTTTAACCCCACGGCTTCCTCCGCACGTGGGACATGGTGGGACCCCCGGCGCGGGTCAGGAAGCTCAGGTCGTGCCGGAGCCCTGGGTCGGATCTGGGAGGACGGTGAGCGCGCGGATGTGGCGCAGGAAGCGAGTGAGACACGTTCCGTGTGTGACAGGATTCACCGGGATGGATCCCGGGCCAGCAGCAGAAATGAGAGGCAGGAAGGGATGCTCTTTTCCGAGGTCACTTGGGGGACAGGCGGGTGGATGTACCCGCACACGTATCCATCCATCCCTGTCTCATCCTGTAGTTCCTGCTCCCTTTCAAAGGGGCGTTTGGGAACCGTCATGCTCGTGTTGGCACAAAACCAGACGGCTCTTAAGGGGAAGAATTCTCCCCGTGCTTGAAATTTAGCTACGTTCGAGTTCCTTGTCAGCCGGAAGCTCCCTGCACAGCTGGGGCATTTCCTTTGTCTTTCTCTGCTTCCCTTTTCCATTCAGGGCAGAAGGAAAGGGCACTGCCTTGCCCTGCCAGCCTTCACATGCCAGGCTGCGTGGCGGGGCCGCATCCACGCTGTGCTGCTCCTCTGAGCTTCCAACCCGGCACCCTGCACCCTGTGCACATCTTCCTGCCTTCTCCAAGGGGATGATGGAGGACAGGACCTGTGCAGTGTCTGGCAGGAGGCTGGCAGGGCCCAGGCAGCCGTTCTGTCCCATGCCACCAGGTGTCCCCACGGCCGAGGCGTTTCCAGCGCTCCACGCCCGGTGCTGGACGGTCCCAAAATGAGACAGAGCCCGAGCCCCCTGCCGTGCCCGTGGCCGTGGATGCGCGTTCCTCCTCCCCCCAGCACGCAGCCTGAGCCGTGTCCCTCTCTCCCTGCCAGGTCTGTGCGCTCTCTCGATCAACCACGCCAACTCCTACTTGGCTTATCCCGGCAGCGCGACCAGCGGAGAGATCGCGCTTTACGACGGAAATACTTTGGTAAGCGCGAAGCCCGGCCTTTGGATACCGCCTGAAAACAAACAGAGCCGCAGCAAAGCCAACGGGGCCCTGGGGAAGGATGAATAAATACGCTCCACCGAGCTGGGCTGCGAGGGAATTGCCTGGGAGGCACATTCCCCATCCCCCTCCGTGCTCGGAGCTGACAGCCTCTGAGATCAGGGCATCTCCCAGTGCAGATATTCAGGAAAACATGACCCACTGCCCTGCAGCCCCAGGGCCGCTGCCAGGCTGGCACTGGGGTTCCTGTAGGAGCGTCAGCAGCGTATCCCATGGGAGTGATGTGACCAGTGTAGCTCAGGAAGCGTTGGAGCTGCTCCAGGCACAGCACAGAACCTGGAGCAGCTGCTCTGCCATGGGCTGGAAGGGATGCCGGACCCAAAGTCACAGAGAGGGCAAAGTGTCCAAAGTCCCCTCAGGAAACCTGTCCCTGGCTGGATGCAGGGTCATGATTATCTGCTGTTTATGCCAGGGCTTTGGGTTACATAAGGCTGTGGCTCCGTACGTGCAGCGGGAGCCGAGGATCTGCAGCAGGGGAGGAGCAGAGCACAGGGGGAAAACACTGTCACTGCTGCTGTGAGAGGTGCAGGGAGGGCCAGGGCTCCCTGCAGGCACCAGGGAGGTGTTGCTGCAGCAGGACTCGCTGTGCAGCACAGTGAGATGCAGGGAGGCCAGCTCTGATCCTCACAAACACGTGCCAGGCTTCCAAGAGGGCGCAGTTGTGATCCTGAAACCTGGAGAGGCGGGGAGCTGAGGTTCTCTGCCCCTGAGGTGAGCTGTCTGTAATCACAGTGGCCACAGTAGGTGGGGAGTGAGCACAAGGCAGGGCAGAGATAAACTGCTGAGGGTGTTGAAGAGATACCATCAGCACAGTACAATCTCATGAATCCCTATCAGCAGGCCTGGATAGGGTGCGAGGCAGGGAACGCCCTGCCCTCACACACAGTCCAAGGAGAAACATGTCCCTTTGCACTCACATTGCCTTCTGCCCTACAGAAAACAGCCTGCACCATCCCTGCCCACGACGGGCCTCTGGCCGCTCTCGCCTTCAACTCCACCGGCTCCAAGTTGGCAAGTGCTTCTGAAAAAGTGAGTGAGCGTGGCTGCAAACACCCTCCCTCTGCCCAGGGCTGGCAGGGGGGTCCCAGCCAGCTCTGGTGCATCAGGACCTCTGAGCTTAAACACAGCCAGGAGAGAAGGGGCACTGAGGGATACCCTGCCAGTGTACGGGGATCAGATGGAGCCCAGCTGGCAAACAGGAGGAGCCTTCGCACGTCCTGAGTTTCCTGGGTGTGTCAGGGAAAGGGCTCTCGCTCCTTGGCCTGCTCCTGCGTGATATTTCCCTTTGCATTTTTTGCAGGGCACAGTCATTCGTGTATTTTCCATTCCTGGGGGGCAAAAGCTCTATGAATTCCGGCGGGGGATGAAAAGGTCAGTTCATTCTTCTGTGGGTGACGAGCACGCAGAGGGCTCCAGGAGCCCAAATGTAAACAGAGGGGCAGGGCAGCGTCAGATCCTGGTGCCTTTGGCATCTTTTGCAGAAGGAAAACAAGAGCAAACGTATCAGCTCGAAATGTCACTGTGCCAGGCAGCCTCAGGCCAGCTCAGTGATTCCCTGTGTGTCACAGAGCAGGGCATGGCAGGGAACAGAAGTGGAGTCACTCCATTTACCTTGGCCTTTTTTGTTTCTCACTTGAAATAATGAAGTCCCCAAAATTATCGGACACCCTGTCCCTGCTCAGCCTGCGCAGGGGATGCCGCAGGGTATGCCCACTATCCAGCCCTTTGGATGTCCTCCCTGGCCTTTGCAGCACCAGAAGGTTTAATGAGGCCAGCACAGATGTTCCCTCCACAGGCAGCTCTGCGAGCAAGGACATTTCCACCTCTCTGGTTGTTTGTCACTAGCTCGAGGCAACCCCCAGATCTGCTGAGCAAAGGGATTAGAGAAGTGCTGGTCCCTGAGCCCACGGGCTCAGCAGCAGCTGGGCAGGGTGGATGGGTCTCCTTCCTCCCCATCCTCTTCTCTGTGAGCCAAACCCAACAGTTGCCCTGAGCAATGTGCCATGGAGTGACCAGTGCTGTCCTTGCTTGGCTCCAGGTACGTGAACATCAGCTCCCTGGTGTTCAGCATGGATTCCCAGTTCCTCTGTGCTTCCAGCAACACGGAGACCGTGCACATCTTCAAACTGGAGCATCTCACGGACAGGTGAGAGGATTAGCCTGGCTTAACCTGCCTGGCTCTGCTTCAAAGGTCTGCTTCTCCACAGCTGGCCTCCATGTCCTCACCACGTCCTCTCCATGAGCAGCACCAGCTGCAAACTCTTTGGCTTTGTGTCCTGAGGGACCCAGTCCTTGAACAGCCACACTCTGCATCCCTGCTGTCAGGCTCTCCAGGCCTGCTCTGGCTTTATGAGCTTCCACTGTCCCTCCTTCCTGTGTATCCAGCCAGTCTGGTGCACAACGCGCAGGTGCCCCAAACAAACCCTTCACCGGTGCGAGATCAGGACCATGTGCTCTGTCCCTGATGCTTTGCGACCCCACTGATGCCGCCTTGTGACCCCCTCAGCCGGCCAGAGGAGCCTCCAACCTGGAGTGGTTACATGGGGAAGATGTTCCAGGCTGCCACCAACTACCTCCCTGCTCAGGTGTCGGGCATGATGAGCCAGGACAGAGCCTTTGCCACCGTCCGCCTGAACATCTCCGGACAGAGGAACATCTGTGCCCTCTCCACGTACGTACTGGCACTGCACCCCCGTGCCAGGCACACCTGTCTCTGCCAAACACCACCCCCCTGGCCCCTTACCTCGTCCCTGTGCCTGCAGGCCACGCGGTGTGGGTGCTGTGTCGGTGTGTGAGGGTTTTTTTGGCGGCTCACGGTGCTTTTCTCACCAGGATTCAGAAGCTGCCTCGGCTGTTGGTGACGACATCAGATGGACATCTCTATATCTACAACCTGGACCCACAGGATGGAGGGGAGTGTGTCTTAATCAAGAATCACAGGTAACTGTTCCTGCAGCCACACCTCAAGCAGAGGGTGATCTTTTAAAACCTGAAGGGAAATCTCACCTGTGACAGCACAAAGTGGAGCAGGAACGTTAGAACTGACTTTGTGATTTGAGGCGCTTGGTCTGACAGGTGTGGGTGGGAACCACATCAGCAGGCAAGGACAAGGGGCTTCTTGCAGAAGAAATCAGAGACATCTCAGATTCCTTGGCAGCTGTGGGATATCTCAGCCTAGACAGCAGAAGTGGGCAGGCTGTGCCTTAGGAGATGCCTCTGGCAGAGAGCGCTGACCAGGAGAGCAGAGCATCTTCTCCAGGTGTGAGGGGGAGATGGAAAGCTGATTTTGGGGGTAGGTGACACTGGGATCTTCTCCAGTGCCAAAGCAGAAGGAATTTCTTCACGGAAAGGGTGGTCAGGCATGGGAAGGGGCTGCCAAGGGAGGTGGTGGAGTCACCATCCCTGGAGGTGTTCAAGGACCTGGCATTCTGGGTTTGTTGACAAGGTGGAGATCAGGACTCAGTGTTCCTGGAGGTCTTTCCCAACCCCAGTGATTCAGTGATTCTGTGGAAGCAGAGCCTGTTCATTTCGTATGCAAATTCCATGGAGCACGTAACTCCATACACACACACACACATCTGGGGCTCCTTGGCTCCAGATGTGAAGCCTTTGGGGTGGGGTGAGATGCAACATGTGCTCTGAGCCGGGAGGTGGCTGCCAGCCAGGGAAATGCCAGCAGCTTTTTGAAAAGCCACAAAACAAAAGCACTTCAAAGCTGCGCTGTCCAGCGCGCGCCGGCCGCCCGCCTGCCCCCAGCTTTGTCATGTGGGCTCCTCGGAGCATCAGAGGACTGAAAAGGGCCCTTGGGTCATGAGCTGCATTACATCACACGATATCTCTGCTCAAACTCCGTCCTAAACTAGCCAGGGCTGCTTTTCCCATCTAGTCCTCTCCTGTTGGAAGCCCTTCGGAGCCCCCCCTGTGATTAGAAACACTGTTTGCCTTTGTAACCTAAAGCTCTTGTGGTCAATCTGTTGCCTTCTGTTCCCGTGCCAGCATTGTCCTCCAGCCGAAGTGGTGCTTTCCCTATCTCCTGCTTCCCCCCTGCTTTCCTTGTGGAGCACAATGCTCCCCTGTCTGCAGCACTGCTGGGGCTGCAGGCAGGGCACGGATGCGGTGGTGTGGATGGGTGATGTTCTTCAGGAGACGTGGATGCATGGGCTTGTCTTATCTGGAGCTGGGGAGGAACAGTTGGGATCAGAACTAACTCTTCTTCCCTCTCTTGCTCCTGTAAAATTAGTCTGCTTGGCTCAGGAAAGTTGGAGGAGAACAAAGAAAACGACCTTCAGCCTCCAGTACCTCAATCTTATGCAGCAACTGTAGCCAGACCAAGTACAGTGCCTTCAACTTCGACCATGCCAGGTAAGCACATCTGCCTGCCTTGGGCAGAAGCCACAAGGCCACCTGGGGCAAAGTGGAAAGGGTGCAAGATTCCAAGGGCTCAACCAGAATCACCTCTTGTGCAGTGCAAACCGGGGCAGCAGGACTTTGGAGCTCACCTGGTTCATCCCCTGTGACAAAAACAGGCCGGGTGTTTTCTGCTCTGCTTTCCTGGGAGCCTGTGCCAGCACTGCTCCTCCTGGTGCAGAGCTGTGCCACATGGGCCCAAGGCAGAGCAGGAGCCACACCTGAGCTCCAGTTTGTGAGCCAGCAGCTGCTGCCAGGTGGTTTCCAGGAGCTGAACCCGTGGGTGTAGAAGTCAGGTCTCACTGTTTTTGTGGCGACGTCGCTACAGATCCTCTGAACCTGTTATAACTTACCCACAAAGCCAGCAATAAACTGCTGCAGGGAAACACTGGGTGACTATCTTACTATATTCCCTAATCTAAGGTCCACACGCAGGTAGATCTTACTCTGAAATCGGTGCTCACGTTCACGGTAGGAGGAGGAAAGCTGCCATTACTCCATCCCTAATCCATACTGCCGATGGAGATACCTTCCTTTTCCTTAGTCCCCCAGAGCTCTGTGCTAAAGAGGCGATGGCACAGTGCCTGCTGTTTGTTTCCAGCCTCCTTCCATCCACTCACCCACAACGTTTTTTGTGGTTTTCCCTGGGCAGGCTACTCGGAGGACGGCGGGGCCCTGCGAGGAGAGGTGATCCCAGAGCACGAGTTTGCCACGGGACCGGTCTGTCTGGACGATGAGAATGAGTTCCCTCCTGTGAGCATTCGGGACCCCTAAAACTGCAGCTCAGCCCTCGTGCTCAGAAGGAAGTAGTAACCTCTTGCAGAAGAGATCCCATTGCCCCCTCCTTGTCCCAGCTCGCTGTGAAGCCCAAAATAACTGAATTAGTTGTAGGGACAGTGCCAGGAAAGTGACACCCCCACTAAGTGGCATCTGGGGATGGGGCAAAGATGATCAAACCTGTTAATTAGAGGTGGATCTGAACAAACTTGCTATGGCCAGATGCAGACATAGCCTTTGTGCCTTGAGCAGATTTCTAGTATTCCCAGGACTAGTTTTAACTGGAACAATACCATCATTTAGAAATAAAAACTTAATACTCCCTGTTGCATTTACAGTCAGTTGTATTAGTTTATGGAATGCAGCTGGAATGTACCTGAACCTCACCAGACTCTCCATTTCCAAGCTAACTGAGAAGAAAACTCCTTTTCCAAGTACAAAGATGAAAGGAGCAAGAGAGTTTGAAACCATTTTATGATTTTTATATGGCACTTTCTCAGTTACCCTTGGAAGGAGATACTGGATTTTTAAATCTAACTCAAGCCTGGCAGTGTCTTTCTGGCTTCTTTTTCCTATTCCACACTCATTTACTGTGTTAAGTATCTAACCCCTAACTGGACAGATGTTGGTCTGTGCTGTGATCTGGTTGTAATCAGTGGTGTCTTCATAACAGTAATGCATTAATACAGCAGAATATTGTAATGGATTTCAGGTTGCAGCCTTGACAGGCTTTGGAATCCCTTACTTGGTTTTTAAATATCCTGCTGTTGGAGTTTTGCCTGAAAAGGAGGAAGTAAAAACTTTATCCCAGGGTTTGTTCCATGTGCTGAGCTGACCTCTGTAAGGCACGTTCCTGTTAACTGATGCAAAGTGCTGCTTAGATAAAAGGTGACTGGTTCATGACTCCCTTTGAACAAACACCACCTAAATCCAGCTCCAGTCACATAACCTTCAGACCGTTTCTCTTCCATTACCTCTAACTTCATCTGCTGCAAACTGGGAGCAGGGGTTTCCTACTTGTCCCACACCATTAGCCATGAAGGAAATTTAAAATGTCTCCCCTCTGGTCAAGCTGTGTGGCCACGGAGAAGCTGGAAGGAGCAGCAGGGCCAGAGAGAAATCCTTTGTTTCCTTCTGCTGAACCTGCTCTTGAACTTGTGGTTCGGGGACAAGCGAATGCCCAGCAGGCAGGAACCACGCTGCTCCTGAACGAGCCTCCCTGCTGGGGCTGGGCCGTGCAAAAGCAGCCCCAGACCCCTGCTGTACCACAGCAGGTGCTTCATTAAATGAACTTTGATCTCCCCAAATCCTGCCATCGACCCGGCAGAGCAAGTGACGTGTGTGATGTGCGGGAGGAGGAGGTGTGGGAGGGAAATACTCCCCGATACGGTGGCTTAGCGAGTGGACCTTCCAGATAAAGGCCCTGCAGTCGGGTTTTGGGTTTGCCCCTCGCAGGGTGAGCGCACAAGGAGAGCTGGGCAGGATGTTTTGGTGCTCTGAATTTCACTGAAGTTGGCTGTTTTCTCAGCACTGAGATACTCGGTCTCGATGACGCGTCCGAGGGGGGTTTCAGGCGTCGGTCACCGCTCCTGTGTGGAGAAGGAGGGACAGAAAACCTGACCTTATCCAACAAAAATGTTTTGACAGCGTTCTGCTTTGCGGAAACATGGGAAGGGTTTTGTTTGTTTTCCAGTGTGCAACAAAAAGACATTTAAAAAACCTCAAAACTTGTGACAAAATGGAATATTCACCCGCAGCCCACGGTATGGCTTTGAACTCAGACATGGCTCTGGAGAAACAGCAGTGCTCAAACCCCACAGTTCCTCTCCATTTTGAAACATCTTGTCTTCCCTTGACCTCAAGCGAGACTTCAGAGGCTCAACTCTTAAAGGGTGAGGAAAAACAGCTTCAGCCTGACATGAAGTCTGTCAGAAACTGCCTCTTCATTAAGTGGAAGGAGGGACAGATCAGAGAAGAGATAAGAAGCCCAAGGAGGACTCGTAAAAAGTGGCCTCACAAGAGGGAACGTGGATGTTGCTGCTGATTTGTGCCAGGACTGCAGAAGGATCCCGTGGCAAGAGGTTAAACCAGTTCAATGACATCTCCTGCATTGATGGGGTGGATTAAGCACTCCCAGGTCACTGTTGATGTGAGGCAGGAAGGACTGAGGTGTTATGGAGGTGGACAGTGGGCTGAAGCCGTGGGTGAGGAGCAGGTGCCGTGCAGGATGTGTGGGGAGGGGGCTGCGGAGCCCTCGCCCTGCAGGGTCAGGAGGTTTCACGGGGTGGGAAGAGTCAAACCCAGCTCTGGCTGCAAATGGTTGTGGCAATTACAGCTGTTTTTCTGGTCAGCTGCCCCTGTTCTGAGGGTGCATCAATGAGGAAGGTTTCCAGTGGTGGTGGGAGCTGTTGGTGTGTGTGTTGGGCCAGGCAGGGCATCACTTGGCCAGCTCCACTTTTGGGACCCACTGTAGTGGCTGTTCCCACCAAGGCATGGTCAGAACAGTTCTGGGGTAGTGCTGTGAGGTTTGGCAGATGAAATCCTACAGGACTCTGCAAGCAGCACGGCCTGTGTGCACCTGAGGAGTGCAGCCAGGGAATCCTCTTAAATATCCTGGGATTCAGTAGGAAAGGTGATTTGTTCCAGCGGATTGCTCGGTGCTTTTCCAGGCAAACATGATCCAGCCTGCATTTGGCTGCAGGGGCCAGAGGTGATGAGAAGGCTTTATCAAAAGAGCCATTTCATTAAGTCAGGTGACATTACATAGAGTGGTCACCTCTTCAAAGACAGCTTCCCCTCACTGATACTCTGTCACTCTTAAAACCCATCTCTTTCATATCGATTTTTGGCTACTCCAAAAATGGTTTGGGCAGCTTGCTGTGCTGCCAAAGGACACTGCTGCCTGTAGGAAGGAGAAATTCAGGGGGGAGTCTGCAAAGGGGGAGAAATCAGTACCCCAGCCTGGAGTCCACCCACCCCTCTGCTGCTCCAAACCACGGAGCTTAATACAAGAAACCAGGTTGCAGATACACCTTTGGCTCTGTGGTTGCCCAGATTCCTCCTCGGTGTTTGCTGGATGGGGTTTCACTCATCCTGTTGCAGGGATATGGACACTAATTATTTTAAGTGATTTTTTTTTTCCAACAACTGGCTGTTAGCAGAGGAAAGGCCACAGGTTTTCCAGTGAAGCTCTACTTGTAATTGTGTTTCATGGGGGATGAATGAGTTTGGCAGAGCCTGAATGGCCTCTTGCTCCTGCCCTGGTAGATCAGACTGGCATTTTGGGCAGCTGGGGCTTGCAGGATTAAGCCCAGCTTATCAGTACATTATCTTAGGTCCCCTGGGAATCATGCAGTCCTGTGTCAATGCCTCCAAACCAAGCGAGTGATGGTCCTGAAACTCCTGGGAGGAGGAGCTGGGAGAGCCCAGCTGGGGCTCCAGGTTCACATCCCTCACAGGTCACGTCCGGCAAGGCTGGAGCTGGGAAAGGGGGGATCTGTGCCTGGGCTCATGGTTGGTGCCCACAAGCACCTGCCTGAGGTGCTGCAGCAGCCCCACAGCGCTGCCCAAGCCTCACCCAGGAGCAGGGGCACATCTTACCCCAGGGTCTCCATGGCACGAGTAGCTGATGGGAACTGGATCAGGGTCCTTGCTGCTGCATGTTCTTCTCTGCTCCTGCTTCACTCTTTCACTCAGAGGCTTTGCTGGTCCTTGGGCTGGGCTTTCCCTGTCCTAATGCTGTCTAACACGTGGGTGTCCTACTCTGGGATCCATCCAGAGAGACATGGTGATACCCAGCACACGCCTGTCCCCTCCTGCCATGCCAGAGCGGAGCTTTTTGGGAGGACTCAGCGAGGCAAATGGGCTTCACTCCCACCAGCGTGGCTGTGCTCAGCCCAATGCCAGCCAGAGGCAAGACACACTTATCATCAAACCAGATGGTTCCCGTTCCCAGGACTGTAAATTTGGGGAGGGGGGGGGAAGGGGAGGGGGAAGAGAGTAAATAAATAAACCTCTCACAAATCTGCCTTTGAATGGAAAGTAAAACACTGCGGGACATCCCTCCCCCTTTTCCTCCCATGTGCGTAAAACCAACTGGAAACGCTCCCTGTTGCTGGGAAAAGTAAGGCAGCTCTGTTTTGATTTTGGTAGATAATCCTGAGCCGTGGAGGTCAGCCGGGCAAGGCCAAGAGGTCGTGATGAGGAGCAAACATCCACGGAGGACAGGCTGTCGGGAGCGCTCGGAAAAAGCCAGGAATTTCGAAGAACACATCTGAGAGTCCCCAAGATGAGAACAAAAAAAAAAAAAAAAAAAAAAGAAAAGAAAAGAAAAAAATCTGAGGTGGGCCATGCTTTCTCCTACAGTGTGTGTGAGTGAGTACCTGGCCCTGTCATAGCCCCTGGTTTAATTTGTGCTGTACAAATTGGGTGGGGTGTCAATGTACTGTATGCACATTGCTCTGTTTAACAAACCCTATGTTAGAACCACAGTGTAAATGCTAATTTAATCAGATTTGTATGTAACCAGAATTTTATATACCCATTTTTGTCCCTTTTCTAATTTATGCTGTTTTATGTGTATAAATGTACTTATAGGAAGAGATATTAAACTTATGTCTTTGTACAGTATATACATACTATTTTAACCCAGGCAAAGTATTTTTGCAGTGATATTAGAGAAGATGCCATTTGCTATGTTTAAAGACAGAATAAAGTCACAGTCTGTCCCTGGCAGCTTCTGCTGTTCTTTGTGGGGCCCTAAAGATGTCAGTCTGGATTAAGTTTTGGGAGTGGGAGAGTGGGTTTGGGAGCTGGGGGGGGGAGGACAGCTGCTCCCACAGGACCTGACCCACCTGGCCAAGTCCACACAAGTTCACTTAAGCTCAGCCAAAAAAAGATCTGGGTGTGTAAATCAGAATCCAAAATTGTTTCAGAAAACCCTCGCTCGGCTGCTGAGAAATCCCAGTGGTTTCATAAGTTGCAGTTGCACCTTCATTTCTGCCTTTGCATCTCCCCAGGCCTTTGCACCTGCCCAGAAATGGCCCCATAAGAGCTGTTTCATCCCACCCGTGCCCCTGGCACCACCTCTTCCCCCACACCTTCCCAGAAAAAGCCCTTCCCAAACACTGGAGCTCGGGTGTGTCACAGCAGAGTCCCTGAGCTCTGCTGGGCAGGACAAGCTGAGCATCCTGCCCACACGGAGAGCAGCTCTGAGGGACAGCCCAGGACCCCTTTCCTTCCACAGACAGTTGGGTCTAACCATGGCCCCACTAACAAACCTCCCCAGGCAGCTGCTGGGGCAGGTGCTCCATTTCCCAGAGCGCTCACCTCGTGCCAGCCGGGAATTTTCCCTCTGCAGCCACAGACTTCCAGGTTCTCAGCACCAGAAGGGATGTTTGCTCAGAGGCCCCGTCCTGCCCTGCCCTGTGCCCCCACCAGCCGCTCCTGTAACTCCCATTTTGGAGGGAAAGCCAAGCAAATTTCCCAGAGGAATTCTCTCCCAAAAAGCCAGCTCTCACAGAAGGCAGTTTTAATCCAAGAGCTGGCTCTCTCCCAGCTGAAGAGCCCTACAGAAAGCCTTCCACATGCCCAGGGCCAGCAGGTGCTGCAGCGCCCTGCTCTGCAGCGAAGGGGACCCTCTGTGTGCTGCCCCAGAGCCACAACCAACTCACCTCCCTGCTTCCTGCACGGAGCAGAGGTGACCCAGCCTCCACCCACGGCCAGCCTGGAGCCAGCACATCCCATTCACAGACACCAGACTGGCAAAGGAGCAGCCTGAGCAATTATTTGCTTAGAGACAAAGCCGTGTTGCTCTTCCCTCCGTGTGAAAACCCAGCGTGGCCGCGGGAGCCCCGCGGCACCGGCAGGCCACGTGCTGCGCGTTGCAGCAGGGAATCACGGCCTGATCCCTGGAATAATCTGCAACCGACACGTTGTCTGCTGCAATGTCCTCCAGGGCCCGGGCATAAGCCCTGCTGATCACGGGCAGCACGGCCTGGTACTCTCTGGATGCCACGTCCAAAGGCTCCTGCTCCTGGACGTCGCGATCCAGGTTGAAAACGAGGGGTGGTTGGTGATGCTCAGCCGGCCCAGTGCTCCCATCGCAAGCCATCGCCCCTCCTAGGGAGGAAGTGAGGGAAAAACCCTGGAGTTATGGGCTGCCCAGGGATCACCTCTGTACTCCTCACGGCCCAGGCCCACCCTGTCCCAGCTCTTAGCCCAAGAACGTTTCTGGGGCCAACAATGCCAGGCTGCAGAGCTGGGCTGGCTCTTGCTTGAATTAACCTGGGCTGGTTTCCACCTGTATCTGCAGGGATCCAAGAATTCCAGAAGCGTCCTCCCAGACTTTACAGTCTCTAGCAGGGACACAATACCTGTGGTGTAAAAGGCCTTGTACTGAGCCAGCCTCAGCGCCTCGATCTCGCCGACCTTCCCAGCTGCCCCACTGTTGGGGTGGAGCAGAACCTGAAGGAAGGACAGAAAAGTGCCTGTCAGCCCATGGCAGGGAAAACCTGCTCCACCTGTGCATCTATTTGCAGCCACCACTCACCCCCTGGACTGAGCAACCAACAGAGTTTTGATTGCTGAAGGGTGGGATGGTGGCAGAAGGACCCAAGGAAACACCAACATCTCCCTTTGCCTTCCTGGTTCTTCAGGATCCTCTGAATTTACCTCCCCAGATCAATTCTATGTCAAGAAGGTGATCACAAAGGTGCAGAGGCCTTCAGCAGAGCAGGACAGAATATCCTAGAATCTTACAGTTTGGGTTGGAAGGGACCTCATCTAGTTCCAACCTCCTGCCATGGGCAGGGACATCTTCCACTATCCCAGGGTGCTCCAAGCCCTGTCCAACCTGGCCTTGGACATTTCTAGAGATGGGGCAGCCACAGCTTCCCTGGGCAACCTGTGCCAGAGCCCCCCCCACCCTCACAGGGAAAAATTTCTTCCTAACATCTAACCCAAATCCCCCCTCTTTTCATGTAAAACCATTCCCCCTTGTCCTACCACTGAATGCCTGTGCAACATTTGGGAGCCGGGATGGTCCCAGGCGCTCTGTCACCCACCCCCTGGGTGCTCCAAGGGAGCCAAATCCCTGCCTGGAGCCAGGAGCCAGCCCCGAGCTGAGGGTGAGCTCATGCAGAGGCCACACGGGAAGGTGAGGTGCTGGAACATCATCCCGTGTCTGTCTCCACCGCTGACTCACCCCGCTGTGCGAGGGCTCCCTTCCCTGACAACAGCACAGGGAACGGGCTGAGAAGGAAGGGAAGGAGGGAAGGGTGGGTCAAATCTCTCCCCCTTGGTATTGAGGACACTTGATCCACACAGGACAGCTGCTCTGGCACACGGGAGAGAGGAGACAAGTGAGCTGGCCCGTCCAGCAGCTCCTCTGCTCAGATCAGATCTGCCGCGGAGCCAGCGGCTTCACTGAGGGATGAGTCACTTGAGGTTTCCTCCCTGGGATTCGAGTTTAAAAGTGATTCAAGAAATTTCCACTGTGCTAAAAAGATTAGAAACATCTGCTGGAGTTGTAGGCAGCTGTGGTGCCAAGTTTAGTAACAGCACTCACAGCTGATGAGCGTGGCAGTGCCTGAGCAGGTGCCCGGCACAGAGCACCCAGATGTCCATCCCACACTGCCCAGCACGGAGCATTCCAGCCCCCCTGGGCACCCAGAGATGTCCATCCTGTGCTGCCTGGTCTGGATGTGGCCACTGTCTTCAGGGCCCAGTTGGTACCTCATCCAAAAAACGCCAGGATTCAAGGTAGGGGGTGATTTCCAAATGCTCTCAGTTTCCTTTATCACCTTTTGGAATTTGGTTTAATATTTATGTTTTAGGGGAAAGAAATAGAAGGGTGTAAAGTGGAAGAGGTGGTGCAGTGTGAGCTGCTGCAAGGAGGAACCTCTGCAGCAGAGTCCCCTTCTGCTGACGCTCCTCGGTCAGGATAAAACAGCTCCAAAGCAGGAATCAGCAAATATTCAAGGCCCCATGAAGCCAAAAATGGGAACTGAACCAATTAATCTGCCTCCAGCTTTAAAGCTTTGCCTACACCTTTAGCAGCACAGCTGGGATACTGCCAGCCTCGTGTAAGGGCACTCAAACCTCCCTTCCTACCAACAACCACGTTCCTAAACCTCTTAAAACCCCTCACTAAGGAAATCTGTTATAATTTACTGCATAATTAAGGAGCTTGTTTCGATTGAGCCCTTTCAAGAAACATTCCCAGGTCTGGAACTCTTCCATTAAGCTGTGACTTTGTTATTTCAATAAATAAAAAACTGGAAAGGGAGGGGAGTGAAAAGCCTTTTCTCCCCAGGCAACCCATTGCCTGAATTCGGTGCAGTTGTGCATCCCTCTCCCATTCAGCCCTGACACCGAGCAAACCACTGCTCCCAGCACACCACTGCTGCCTGCAAACCATCCTTCCCACTAAACCATCACTCTCCACACACCACTGCTCCCAGCAAACCATCACTCCCAATAAACCATTGCTCTCAGCATGCCATTGCTCCCAGCAAACTATTGCTCCCAGTAAACCATCACCTCCAGCAAACCACCATTCCCAGCAAACCACCATTCCCAGCAAACCACCATTCCCAGCAAACCACCAGTCCCCTCCTCCCAGCACTGCACGTGCAGAGGAGGGTTAATCCCAAGGAACACAGCAGAGCACGCTGGCCACATCCCATCCGCTTCCCTGCTTCATCTCCCAGTTCAGCAGAGGGTTCCATAAATACAAAGCAAATACCAAACCCCTGATGGACACAGAAAGCAAATCCAGGATCCCGCTGGGAGCTGGCTCACGGTGCTCGCAGGAGGGTGGACTTTAAAAGCAAAATCAGGATTCATCCATGGGACTGCTATTAGAGCCACTTTTTTTTTTTTTCCTTTCTTTATCTTTTGGTTCTGCAAAAATCTCATGGAACTCTGAGACAAACGTGTGGCCATCCTGCTTGTCCTGCAAACTGTGGGTTTTTGGGCTTAAAGGAGCTGGCACCAGCTGGTTGTATGGACAGAGCTCTGGGATACAGGGTGGGCTGCCCCGATGGACACGGTAACACTTTCCCCAGCCATGGAGCTGGGAGGAGGGCTTTGTTCCACCTTCATCTGGCATGATAAATAAAGGGATACAACTAGGTTTGAGCCCCTGGGATCTTCTCTTCCCCACACTGATGTACCTTTGTGATTGGGAACGAGACACACCACGCAGAGCACCACGGGCTGCCACAGGCCTGAGCATCCCCAGGATGGTGTCCCTGGGATGGTGGCACACAGGAAGGTGCCAAGCTGCATGCACAGGCATTTCTACCCATAATCCCAGATTTGTGAGTGAGACACAAAGCAGTCTTCATTAACCCAAAGCCCTTTTACCCTGATATCCCAAGCCCAGCCTGGTACAGCACCCAGCCATCTCCAGCTGCCCTCCTCCTCCTCCTCCAGGTCTGGGAGTGATGCTCCCATGGGTCCACACATCACCAGCTCTGAGCCTTTTTCCACCCACACGTACCTGTTTTAGCTCAGGGACCTGCTGTCAGGAGTGGGGTGTCACTGAGGGGGTGGCTCTGCCTTACCTTGTGCCCCTCATCTGACCGCCCAAAGAGAACTGGGGACACATCCAAGCCGTCAAAGCGCCTGTTAGGGGGCAGGGCCGCCCCAGCCAGGGCCACCAGCGTGGGGAAGATGTCCAGGGTGCTGGGGAAAGAGGTGGCTGCCATCAGTGCAAGGAACAAGAATCC